ATGATTAGCTTTTAATGTTTTTTTGGAAAAATTGAAAATAATAATCTCAACTATTGCTGGTCCGCTGAAAATAATCCCAACTATTGATTATTTTTGTATAATCCCAACTATATAGACTATCCGCCAATAATGGTCCATGACCATATATTACCTCTATAAAAAGTGAATTTTAAATAGAAATTAAGCGTAAAAGTTAAAAATTTAGATTATTTATAGGGATTACTTGTTATATCTCATCTCATCTACTTTAGAAACTACAAGAATTTATTCATATGGACCATTATTGGCGGAAGGTCCCTAAAGTTGGGATTATTCTGTAATAATCAATAGTTGGGATTATTATGAGCGTACCGCCAATAGTTGGGATTATTACTATCAATTTTTCCTTTTTTTTATATTTTGAAAATAAGTATTAATATTTTTATCTTTTTCACTTTCTTAATTTTGATAATCAAGGTTTTCATATTTTTAATTTTAATTTGTACTTAATTTGAATTTCATTTTTCCTTAAAGGTTTTTATATTGACCTTCTTACTCTCCTTTATATATTTAAAATAACTTACATGTTATGAAATTTTAATTATGAAATTTATATAAGTTTTTCCATATTTTATATTCTTTATTTCTACCAACTATCTAAAAAACTGATTAAGTAAAAATAATTTTTTATATTATTTTTTACCCTTTCTATTTATTTATGTAAATTTTAATTTAATTTTTTGGGTTCACCAGAAGTCGACATATAATAGTTTGGATTGTTATAATCTACTATTTTTTTTAATTGACTGAACAGGTAATCGATCACGTCGGACCGTTATTAACGGAAGGTACCTAAAGTTGGGAATATTTTAAAATAATTGATAATCAGGATTATTATGAGCAAATCGTCAATAGCTGAAATTATTACTATCATTTTTTCCAATTTTTATAACGTTGCGTTGATTTGTTACACTAATACTACCTCCGTCCCACTAACATTGAGACATGAGGAGGTGACACGGTTATTAAGAAAAATGAGTTTATGTGATTGATATTGAATTGATAAAGTAAGAATGATTTAGAATCACACAAACTTTACCAAATTTGGTATGAGACAATCTTAGTAGGACTCCCTGAAAAGGAAAAATGGGACAATCTTAGCGGGACGGAGGAAATAATTTATTTCCATGTATATTTACACAAATGAAACTTATACACAAACAATAGTTTTTTTTTAATTTCCATGTATATTAACACAGACAAAACTTGTACACAGTTAATGAATAAATATCAGATCAAATCTGACAGTTTTAAACATATCAGACCAACAAATTTCAGTCCAATTAAAAATATCTTGTGATTATTAAATACTCCAGAACAATAAAAAGCAATTACAGTATTTTTTTGTTAAAACAATGCTTCGTAATTAATTACTCCGTAATACTCAAATAAGTGACGTAGGGTGCAATTACTTTTTGAAAAAATATTGGTGTTCCACCGACAACTCATCTCCAGACACACAACTTGTTTGTGAGGGACAGACAAGTATACAAAATTTGTGTACAAATTTTGTGTATCCCTAGCTCCCTCCATTACTTTTTAGTTTTTTTCCCATGAAAATGCTAAAGGTACATATGGTGTACACTTTTGTGCACACCATATAAAAGGCTAAAAAATTCATTTCCTTCTTTCTCCTCTCTCCACTCCCCCCCTCTCTCTCTCTCTCACCCTCTTTACCCAACCCAAAAAAATGAGAGATCATCTTCTCTTCTTCATCTTCCCTTCATCATCATCTTTTTTCTACCTTTTTATATCAATTGTTTTTTCATTATTTGCACAAAATCAACTTATTCATCTTATTTCATCTATTTTTATTATTTTTCAATTTTTTTCAAATTAAATGTAAATTGATCACACATACAACTACATCATTTATTTGGATATATATAGATAATTAAATTTTTCGTTCACCCAGACAATTGAAATTGATCACACCGACAATTAAAGTTGATCACACGGACAACTATTGCCTGTAGAACGCACAACTATTGTCTGTGAGGTAAATATTGTCTGTGCACACATACAAACAATTGTTTGTGTAACATGAAAATATTGTCTGTGCACACAGGCACTACACATATATTGATTGATTTGCAAGCTGATGTCAGTTTCATACGGCTGTCAGTGTACTTTTTACAAAAAAAAAAAGTAAATGTCTATGGACACAGACAAAAGTTGCAAAAACAACTCTTGTCTGTGCCCACAGACAATTTCGTATCAATAATCTGTGACAGACATTTTGTATACAAAGTGTGTACAACTTATGTACCCTAGCATAGTTCTTTTTTTTCACGTGGGAGTGTGGGATTAATTAATGTACATCTTTCCTAATTCAAAAGGCATATAAATGCGTGTGGTCGTCTTGGATGGAGAACGATAACAAAAATTCCTCTGCTGTATGAGATGACCGGAAAGTCTGATGACGTGAACTGCATTTTCCGGCTCCAGATGTTGGGGGTTATCATATAGTCGTGAACGGGAGACAAATGCATGACCATTTGCCCAGAGATGTCTTGATCAGCATACTCTCCAGGCTCCCCGTCAGCACCCTTTTGCGGTGCATCGCCGTCTGCAAATCATGGTACGCTCTGATCTCCAGCCCCCTTTTCATTTCCGAAAACCTCCATTTTGGTTCCGAAAATACCCACCTTTTACTTAGATACTGCGTAGGAGAGGGGGTGACCGAGAAACACCAGAGTTATGAGTTGTTTCGGGATGATAATCATACATTTGAAAGGTGCAGGAAATTGGACTTCCCTTTTACTAGTGTGAACAATTTTTATCGGATTGTGGGTTCTTGCAATGGGCTGATTTGTTTGACAGATGACATGGGTGAAGATGACCTCACTACCATTCTATGGAACCCTTCAATTGGAAAATCGGTTGCCCTTCCTGAACCTAGGGTAACATTTACTTCTCATGGGGCTTTTAGCCATACCCACGGGTTTGGGTATGATCCATTAACCAATGATTACAAGGTTGTTAGGATTGCGAACATCTCCTTTAATGAGCTACCGCCACTGGTTGAGCTCTATGAGTTGAGCAAAGGACGGTGGAGAGATATTAGTCACAAGGCAACTGGGGTTTGCTATCGTTTAGGAGACTCGATACCTGCCGCTTTGGTCGGTGGGATTGTTCATTGGGCTGCAATGGATGAAGACTTCAAGAATTCTGTTTTGTCTTTTGATATGAGTAAGGAGGTGTTTGGCGAGATCTTGGTACCTGATAGCGTGGCAACTGCAAGTTTGAGATATTTTACAGATTTGAGAGTTGGAACTTACAAGGAGTCACTTGCCTTTTTTGTGCAGAGTACTTACGGGACCAACCCATATTGTTGTGTATGGGTTATGAAAGAGTATGGGAATGTTCAGTCGTGGACTCAGATATTCTCCATCAATCATCTTCGTCTGGGATTCCAGTTGCTTGTTGGTTTTAGGAAAACTGGTGAAGCTTTATTCGTTGATCGCGACAAATGCTTAGTTCTTTTTCATCACGAGGAACAGTTGGTTGAGTATCTTGATATATGTGGGTCATACTTGCATGCTTTCTATGCAAGCACATACAGAGAAAGCCTCGTTTTTCTGGACAAAGATACAGGACGTTCTGATATTGATACTGTCCAGGACATTTGGATTAGGCGGAACTCTGAAGATGTTTCTGATGAGTGTACAAACTATCATGAAACATCTAGGAAAGGAGAAGATGGAAAGGGAAAAGGCAAACTAACATATAAGTCAAAAGGTATTATCTCTGCCAATCCATTGCTTGTCAACTGTTGTTTTAAACTTCATCACGTTAAATATATTGCTAACAAGCCAAGGCTAATGCTCGCCGCACTGCGGGGCGATAGAAAATTGCCTCAAGACTTCCATTTCCCCTGTCACAGAGAGTGCATGAGGCATAGAGCATTAGAGTTCTAATATTTATTGGCCTTCTTTTCACTTTAGTTCCGTAAGACATATTTTATTAAAATATTTAAGGTGATTTTAGTTAGATTTTTAAGGCTTAACTTACGGACGAAAAACTAAGAACTTTAGATGTTTACTTTAGTGTTAATAACTGCACGACGAGACAAAGCCTTGAGCCTCCCCTGTATGGTTTTTCAAAGGTGTAGCTTCATTGCTATAACAATGAGGCTTAGTTGAGGGGCTTAAGCAATTTGACGTATTATATTTTAATTAAGTTGGGTCTGTTTGATATCCAAATTCAGAAAAGCCCATTTTATACTTGAAAGACTCCTACCTTGAATATTAAGATGACAACAGTTTATCAGTAAACAAGTTACTTTGGATTCTCTTGATTTCTTTGATGATGGAGCCGGATGGAGGGATATACTAGACCTTTTGACCCAAATGTAAAACCAAAAGATTGCAATAACCCTATTTGATACCATGTTTTGCTTGAAATTACTATTAAGATGGTGTTAAGTTTTGGTTGTTTATCTATCTGGACCATATTGTATCTGACTATGAAGTGCCTTTTTTTTAATTAGTGTTTGGTTATATTAGCTAAATGAATTTTGCTGTTCTACTTGATTGAATTATACATTTTTGTTGCACAGTTACTAGTTACTACAAACAATTTTTTGTGCTCACAGAGAAGGGTAATTGCAAGAATCTTGGCTAAGCAGTGCATACAGAGACCATCTTATCATCAACTATAAAGCTGATGAATTGGGTTATTAAGAAGGCATAATGGTCTTTGGAACAACATTAATTGTAATTTTTTATTATGTATTTCCGTCTCAGCTCTACATTTGCTTTACATCATTACATTCCCTGTATTAAAAAGTGTAAAAACTGTTGTCTTTTTTTTTATTTACTGCTACATTTAAATAACATTTGCTAACTTTTCTTGTTGGGATTGGTTGTCTTATGAAGGAAAAGAAAAACAAAAGGTGTGTGGGTGGGGAGTGAGGTCACTAAGAATTTCATAGTGTATTGAAATAGATCATTCCTTTTTCCACAATTGCACACATGCACACAGCTATATTACACAGTACTAATAAACAGACCCAACCTGGGATTGAGACATAATGTGGTCCTGTCTATGTATTATATATTCAGAACTGAGAAATGAATTGTAGAGATCTACTGAATGACATTCCCAGTTTTCTCATGATTCAAGGCGGACTTAAGTGCTGAGGGCTCAGCATCAGCAAGCATTCTGACTACATTTTTCATCGTCGGCCGAAGGTTTGGAAGCTTTGTGGTGCAGAGTGTTGATATCCTCAGGACATTAACCATGCCATCCTGCACTACATCTGAAACTATGTTTGGGTCAAGAATTTTCAGAATATTTTCACGGTTGTCAAGATGGGTCGAGACCCAGTAGACTATGTCTTTTCCTTCTCCATAAGCATCGTCTATTGGGCTTCTTCCTGTTACCAGTTCTAGAAGCACCACACCAAAACTATACACATCACTTTTCTCTGTCACCCTTAGTGTGTAAGCCATCTCTGCATATTTAAAAAGAAATTACTGTAAATCAGAATAATGTGTGGAAAGTGCTATGGGAGTGTGTGTTTTGTGTTTAAAGAATGGATCAAAGCATGGATCAAAGAAATTACTTTAATTCTTTTATTAGAAGTCATTGAGTCATACGGAGTACTTTTAAGAAAAAATAATGGTGGTTCTTTGTGAAGAAAAAAACCCTAAAAATTAATGAAATTACCTGGAGCCATGTAACCATGAGTCCCAGCAAAACTGCTGAGGTCAGATCCTCTTTGGGAAAGTTCTGAAGTTCTCGCAACTCCGAAATCTGAAACTTTGGCTTCATAAGCCTCATCAAGAAGAATGTTGGTAGACTTGATATCTCTGTGAATGACAGGAGGAGAGCAGTCATGGTGTAGATAAGATATTCCTTTAGCAGCCCCTAGTGCAATTTTATATCTCTGATCCCAATCCAATTCTGTCTTTCCAAATTTGATTCTGCGGTGAAGTGCTTGGAAAAGATTTCCGTTTGCCATGTATTCAAAGACCAAGTAATTTGAACCTCCGTTTGTCAAGCAGGCATAGAGTTTCACTATATTCCTATGCCTGATCGTCCGCAATATTTCCATTTCTCTAGCCAGAACTTTCACTGCATCCCCCTTCCACAGTTGCTTCACTGCCACAGTGCCACAACCTTTCTTCAAATCAAGACGATAGACTTTCCCCGTGCCTCCGCTTCCGATCAGATTCTCCTCATCTAGATCACATATTTCATCAGCATCAAACTCTATGTGATTGAAGAAGCTCTCAAGCCTCCATTTTGGGTCCAATCCCTTGGCATCCTCTGAGTGTTCTTCATTTTCAGCATTTTTCTTTGTGTGCTTGCTCTTCCAATAGCTCAAGACCAATAAGCCGACCAAAAGGGCAGTTGCACATAAGAATGCAATGCAGAGAACACTAAACTTGCTGTTAATGAAATTGTTGCGGCGAGTAGCATACCCACCACAAACACTTATTAGTTCCTTGTTTGTGTCATATTTTATACTTTGATCAAGACAAAGTCCCTTGTTGCCAAAGAATGCCTTGTCTCCTCCCATCATCAAAAGTTCATAAGAAACTTTCCCGTATAGCTGGTTGTCGGACAAATCTATCGAAGAAAGCTTCAGATCATCCAAGCTTCTGGGAATTGGGCCCGTCAGCTTGTTGTTGGATAGATTCAAGGAGTTCAGCAAAGAGGGCATCGTAGTTAGAGAGTCTGGAATGGCGCCACTTAGATGATTAGAAGCAAGATTCATATCTGTCAGCCTAGGACAGTGACCTAACTCCACAGGTATTGGTCCTGTGAATGAGTTCTTCTCTAAATGCAAGGATGTGATCTGTTTTAACATACCAAGTTGGGCTGGTAAATGGCCAGAGAAGCCATTGTTGTCCAAGTAAAGCCTCTCCAAGAGCATGAGATTTCCTAGGTCGTTTGGGAGCCAACCCGAGAATTTGTTGTTTGAGAGAATTAACTGCTTCAGATTTTTTGCAGATCCAATCCAAGGAGAAATAAATCCACTGAAACCATTATTACTGAAATCAATCATTTTTACATTTGGAAGGGCCCACACCCCTTCGGGGATTTTTCCAGATAGCTGATTCTGTCTGACCCTCAACCTCTCTAAAGGCATACAGGCGGCATAAGCGTCTGGAAACTCCCCGGTGAAATGATTTTCCACTGCAAGCAAATAACGCAATTTCCCATTATGACACAAGTACTTGGGGAGTCCTCCAGAAAATTGGTTTTCAGAAATGTCTAAGCTAACCAGTGGTGAAAACCTGCCAAGATTTTCCGGAAAATTTCCTGAGAAACTGTTCTCGAATAAGGAAAAACTAATAAGACGCTGCATATCTCCAAAGCCTCGAGGGATTTCTCCTGAGAAGTTGTTTCTGGCCACCTGAAAAACTGTCAAGTTTTTAAGGTTTCCAAGAGCCGAAGGCAGTGTACCGTACATCTGGTTATCTGAAACATCAAACTCCTGCAATAGGTTGAGTGCGGCAAGCTCAGATGGAAGCTCACCCGTCAGATTATTGGCGTAGAGCTCGATTTTGTAGAGATTTTGCAAATTGCCTATCATATTTGGGAAATTCCCAGAGATGTGATTCCTGCAGATATCCAGTGTCTGCAATTCCTCCAAGCCGAAAATGGTCTCTGGGATTTCTCCTCTCAGATTTGATCCGGCCAGGTAAAGCCAATTCAACTTCTTCAAATTCCCAATGCTCTTTGGAATTTCCCCTTCATCAAAATTGTTATCGCCGAGGCCTAACGAGACCAAACCAGTAAGATTTGCAACCCAAGCTGGAAAGTCTCCAGAAAAATAGTTGATGGACAGATCAAGAACCTCCAAATTAGTCAGCTTTGACAAATCAGGGATGGTCCCATTCATATTATTTCCAGTAACATTCAAGACTCTGAGATTTGTACAGTTGATAAGTTCAGCTGGGAGAATCCCAGATAAGGCATTTGATGCAAGCACAAGAGATGTGAGGTTTTGGAGGGAAGAAATCGACGGTGATATCACTCCGGAGAGACTCTGGTTATCAAGTGAGATTTCAGTAACTAAACCAGTTTTTGGATCACATGTAATACCATGAAAATGGCAGGGGCTTTCCCAATCATTCCATGAAACAAGGATACTCAAGGGGTCAATGAGATGCTTTTTGAATTCCAAAAGGGCCTCAGTTTCCACACTCAGAGGTGTGGATGGGTTGAAAAACAAGGACAGGAGTAAAAGACTTGAAAGAATTCGGAGGAAGAGGCGCTTTTGGTTTCTGTCCATGGTGGAATAACTGGGTGAGCAACACATAAATAATCCTCACTAGGGAAAGACAGACTCTTTAATTAAGTCTCCATTATTGCCATGATGATGAGGGTGCCCATACTAACTAGATGCAATAGCTGAAACAAAAAGGGTATCAATCATTACACATAACAGTAAAGCATCCTTTTATGATAAATAAACATAAAATACTACCAAGAATTTGTTATCATAATTCATAATATGTTTACAGTACCGGAGTGGACCCATCCACGCCATATCAGAGCAGTCCAGACTTGGCCGGATCTACCAGATCTACTCCATTCAGTACATTTTTTTTGCTAAAGTTCACTATTTTTGTCTCACTTTTGATTTTGGCAACTAACACTATAAGAGTATAAAATAAAAAAGCATAAATGTCATTACTTCTTTACAAGAAGTAGAAGTATCCTTTATCTTTTACTTTTTCCATCTCCCGGTTCTCAATCATGCTTTTTCTTTTTTCTACTTTCTTCTCTATAACTACAAGTATACTCACAATGTCCACGTAAAAACCCAGCGAAGCAAGTAGCTGTAGAAAAAACAGGTCAAGGAAGTATTTGTAGGAAAAAGGAGAATTATAAAAGGAGAATGAGTGAATGACCATTACATACTAATCATTTAAATCTTTATAGGAAAAAGTCGGTTCATAACAATCAACTAGCTGTCACATATGCTAACATGTTTCATTAATGGACAACACAGCTGATAATACTGTAGTGAAATCAAATATGGAATGGACAACACATATAAGACTCACAATTTACAAACATGGAACACATAAAAGCTTGACAAGTCAAATTGGGGGTCTGGTTGTGTTAACTCACCACATAATCTGATCTCCATTTGAAGCAGCTCACATACATGGCTTCACCAAAATTATACCAAGACAGCTTTTTAGTTCTGCAGTAGAGCAGGAGACCTGAAAAGGGGGAAATGAAAGAAAGAGCTGAGGAAAGAATGAACCAAAAACAAATAATTGAATACTCCATGAATATTTGAGGTGATGCAAAATTCTGCACCTCTATAAGCTTGTTGCTTTTTCTTGAATGCAGGGAGCTCAGAAAGCAGATTGACCCAAAATGGAGAAGCAAGAAGAGTGTGATTTCACAGAGGATTGGTACTGAGGTGGAAGATTCTTATATTGGTGTACAGGGAATTGGCAAAAAGAAACAAAAGAAAAGATTGCTAATCCAGTTTGTGATGATGATGAGAGAGACTAGGAGCGGATAATGGAAGGTGGAGAGAAGGAGGGAGGGGAGATACTGAGATCGGCACTTTGAAGTTGAGGTGACAGGGAGGCAAAACTGGACAAGGGAACTTTTTTAATGGGGAGATGTGATAAATCGAAAGCGGCCAAAATAGCTCTCTGTAGTGGGGAAAAGATACCCCCATCTCCCACCACGGTAACTTCTGTACCAACCAAACCAAAACCCACTGCTATCATCTCTCAAGCAAAATTGTTGAGAAGAAACTCTGGAATTGGCATTACTTCTCTCCATTAGAAAATGATGACAGTTCGGACGATATTTGTTTGGGTGACATATAACCATAACTCCTCATAGGTAGTTGTCAAACTAATTTCTTAGTGATTAATGCTCGCAAGGATATCACTACGTACGTGCTCTAGTATCGTGCGCTTTCTCTTTCTGTCTTAAATCACCTCCTGCATTTTGAGTGAGATTATATTCGTTCTCCCGTTTGGATCAATTCCTAAATAAAACATATTTAGGGGTGTTTGGATCTGATTCTTAAAACTGCTTCTGCTCTCTCAGAGAGCAGAAGCAGAAGCTTGAGTGTTTGGGTGAAAGTGCAAAAGTGATTCTGATGCTTTTTTTTAGTAAACGGAATCAGTTTTTTTTGAAGCTAGGGGTGACCAGCTTCTGAAAACTGATTCTGCTTCTGCTTCTGCTTTAAAACAGAAGCAGAAGCAGAATCAATTCCAAACACCCCTAAATATGTTTTATTTTAGTAATATTTTTATAAAAACCCTCTTTCAAACGTATAGAATACGGTGAAATACTTTTTGTCATTTTTTAATAGTAAACAAACAAAAAAGATTATAAAATAACTACTAAATGTACGTACATACTACATAGTGGGAGGAGTGTATAATGTACATACGCAGTATAATATGCATCCTCCAGACCTACCTTTACTTGTATAAGTGTGTCTAGTTTGAAATATCGTACACGTCATAAAGGAGTATGATGCTATTGCTTTATTATTATGGAGTATATGACAAAACAAAAGTTCGAAAAATAATTACGAGCATACATATATTTATGATTAAAATAAAGAAAAAATGGCAGGCGTGTGACTATTTAACTTTTCATTTCCAATAATATAAACTTTTTGAATTTTCCAATAATGTGACCAGACACACCTTCTCTCCAGACACGTTCTTCCCGGACAGCTTCTCCCAGAAGCTTCCTTTCTTCATCGCCTCCTACAAACCGGCTTCTCTCGTTTCTGTCCGTCTTCATCGCCTCCTACTCCAAGAAGCTTGTGAGTTGCTCGAAGATGGATCGAAGTCTGCCAGCATCTCCTTCTTCACCGTCTCTCTAGCCGTCGCTGGTCCCGTCGCCACCGCCGTTGCTCGTCGCCTCTCCGCGCCGCCGCCTCTCCTTTTCTTCTCGTCCGCATCTCCGTCTTTTCTCTCCGAATCCAGCGACGAAGACCAGATCTCGTCCGTGCCAGAGATGAAAACCAGATCCTGACGGTTTCTCCTTAGATCTACGCGATGTTTTGCAATGGTGAAGGCGGCGATTTGAGGTGGGGCCTCGCCACAACCTCCGGATCGCTCCTACGATGGCTAGGGTTTCAATTGCATTCCACGATTAATCGATTTCAGCTGCTACGGTTCTGACAGCGGCTTGGTTGAGCTTGGTTGGCCATGGTTGAGCTTGGTTGGCCATGGTTGAGCTTGGTTGGCCATGGTTGAACGGTGGTGGGGTAATGGTTGACAGAGGAAGGGCTGGTGGTATTGCAGTGACAGGTTGCACAAGGACCATGGTGGGGGAGGAGTACAATGGTCACCTGCCGGACGGCGGTCGTCACTTGCCATGTGTGGGCGGCCAGAGTTATTTGAAATCTATGATGTGCTTGTAATTGACCGTATTTGTGTCACTTTTATCATTGGCCGGACGGGATGGCGGCGGTGGATGTGGCCGGAGTGGCGGTAGTGGATGTGACATGGACGGCGACTGTGTACGGGTAGGACATTCACGGTAGCTGACGGGTGGGCAATTACAGTGACCGGAGTCACTATGGAGGGTGGATGGGTAGTCACTATGAAGGCGGAGTCATTGTGGCGGTGGGGCAGTCACTGTGGCGGTGGGGCAGTCACTGTGGCCGGCGAGGCAGTCACTGTGGCGGTGGGGGGTAGTCACTGTGGCGGTGGGGCAGTCACTGTGGCGGTGGGGCAGTCACTGTGGCGGTGGGGTAGTCACTGTGGCAGTGGGGCAGTCACTGTGGCGGAGGGGCAGTCATTATGGCCGGTGGACAGTCACTTGACCGGAGTCACTTTGGATTGCAGGGGCTAATTTGATGTTGGTCACATTTTTAGAATTTTTAAAAACGTTTCACTTTTTTGTCTTTTATCCTATTTTTAGTAATATCCAGGCCAAAAGGCCTAAAATAAAAGTGGTTTACAGAAATACTACATTTAGAGGCCGTTTGGAACCACTGTTTTTCGACTTATCAGTCAACTTTTTCACCAAACACGTAATTTTTGTTTTCGCGCGTTGAATTGTGTAATAACCACGTGAGGAATGAGACAATCAGACAAAGGGTGAGAGTAGCACATATTGAAGACAAGATGCGGGAGTCGCGCCTACGGTGGTTTGGTCATGTGCGTAGAAGACCGAGTGATGCACCTGTCAGACGAGTTGAGATGTGTGGAGAAGAGGCAGGGAAGAGAGGAAGAGGAAGACCCAACCAGATGTGGGTTAGGAGAGTCCGAAGTGATATGCTTCTTCTTGGGTTAGATGAGTGTATAGCTTTGGAGAGAGGAAAGTGGAGAGCGGGTATTCGTGTGAAGGAGTGATCTCGTATTATCTTTTCTCTTCATTTATATTTTCTTGTTTTTTTATCCTTTCATCCTCATATATATAGACATTATTTTTATCCTTTTTTTATTTTTATCATTTTTAGGTATATTCATCTCTTTTTATATTATCTTTTTCATAATAGTTTATCCTTTTTATCTTTATTTTCTTTCATTTTCTTTTGGTGGTGATATCATATATCGATTCATATTAGCCGACCCCAATATCTTTTGGGATTAAGGCTTTGATGATGTTGTTGTTGTTGTTGTTGTTATTGTATTGGCTGAAGTTACTGTAGATGATCATTTTAGCTTTTTTACATATAATTTTTTCTTTATTTTATTAATAAAATATATTTTAAAAATATTTTTTTCTTAAATCAGCAGAATCAGCCAATGCAGTCACTTCAGACAGAACTTCATAAATTTTATGTTCTAACAAATGGGCTCTTTTTTGGATGAACTGTAAGTATATTAAAAAAACAACCCAAGAAAACAGAGATTCAAAATGTACAAACAAAAAGGGAACAAAACTGCAGGTTATCCAAACATGGATAACCCAAACCCAGCAAAAGAGCTCAAAACAAGCAAAGCCCCACACCAAAACCAAGCGGTGGTTAAGCACAAACAAGCCCAAAAAATAGTCACAAGAAACGCCCAAACCAAACAAAGAGATGGTTAGGCACAACAAGTTACAACTTTACAAGTTCATGCAGATAAAGACTATACAAAATCTTGTAAACAATGTGTTGAATCCTCGCAAAAATGTCTTCTTCTTTGGGAACAAGGCCATCAAAGCATGTAGCATTCCGGGTTCTCCAGATCCAGTAGATGGAATAGCAAAAAGCAATCCTAGCCGCCTTAGCTTTGATCCCCGAGCCTTGTCTCTTCCTCTTGATCCATTTCAACGAGCTCAGCATGGTCCCCATCTCCCTAGGAATGTCCAGCCACGCCTGACTCTATGCCAAACTTTACTTGAAAAGGCACAAGTAAAAAATAGGTGAAACATTAACAACATCTAATCTATACAAGTTATCAATAGTGGCAAGGCGGTTACGAAAGGCTAACCAAACCGTGAAAGAGAACTTAGGGGGGCTATAATTCTTCCAAATGAAAGACATCCACATTTGAGTTCCCCCCTTAACTCTAAGAAGGTTGTACACCAAACTCGAGGATAGCTTGCCATTTGTTTGGCAAGTATTGAGAAAACTAATGGCATCGTGGGTGTTGTCAAAGTGAGAGACAATTTGATCTCTAATCAGAGCAATCTTTTTAATCAATTGGGAGTCTCTAACAAATGGGCTCTTAATTTTATGTGTAGCGATTATGTAGTAACATGATTATAGTAATTGTTGGGCCGCGGGATTGCAGTGCCAGCAACAGCCAGCCTGCCGGTGCAATCGAACCGTGTGGCACTTCGCATGTGCTATAAAGGGGGAGGAGCGTGCTACACTATCAGCGATTGCTTTTAGTGTAGGGGTAAGAGCAACGATCCACAAGTGGTATGAGAGCCAAGGTCACGGGTTCGACCCCCGGCAACAGCATGCTGCGCAGTTGTAGGCTGGCAAGTGCTGGGGGGGGGGGGGGGAGATTGTTGGGCCGCGGGTATGCGGTGCCAGCAACAGCCAGCCTGCCGGTGCAATCGAACCGTGTGGCGCTTCGCATGTGCTATAAAGGGGGAGGAGCGTGCTACACTATCAGCGATTGCTTTTAGTGTAGCGGTAAGCGCAACGATCCACAGTAATCTTACCCTATACTATAATACAGACTATAGAGTAATTGTTGATGAAAGATTGACATGAATATTACATATACACTTTGTAAAGACAAAAATATGACTCTTTATTTTAAATTGGATAACAAATGACTAATCGTTAATTCCCAATTACGGAAGTTCCAAACGTCTTCACACCTGCGCTCCGGGAGATTGTCGTCACACCCGTGCTCTAGCCTTCATTCCAGGCCATCAACCATAGTTTCATCGCGTATCTCCATGGACATTTCACACCTCTCAGATCAAATCACATCCCTCCATCGGATCTGTGTGTTCTTCATAGTCAATCTTGCCATCGCCCCTAACAATTATCTCCCTCGTTGTTATCCCTTCACGCCGTGGTTGCCATCGCCCTTGTACGTTGTAGTTGTTATCGTCATCGACACGCCCCTTGCTTCTATTTCTTCTTATTCTATTCGATTGTGGGGGGAGCTTCATCGTTCTCCTTAACATTACAGATTTAGGTTGGTGGGAGCAAGTGCTGGGGCATTGGGATGGGGAGGGGCAGTGAAAGTATGATTGGTTATGGAGAGACACACTATCTTAGATAAGTTGCAGAAGATTTGAGAAGAAAACTTATGGAAGAAGATAATCGAAATGAAATCGATTAGAGGAAGAATAATGGTTCATCTCATTTCTTCTTATTGTTCGATGGTAGCTATTTATATACAACAGTTACTACAAAGAGAAAGGGAAAAGAAAATTCTAGAACTGCCAGCTAAGCTCTAATTAGTTAAAGGCTAAAGGGTCAAATAGGCCCTTGAACTTACCTAAAGTGTTCAATTAGCCCCGTATATAGAAGGTTCTGCCCGGCCGTCGCTAATTGGGGCGGTTCCCGGTGGAATTTTTTGATGAGATTTTTTGAGCATCTTCTTCA